GGAACCCTGGAGATCCGTGATTCCCCCTCAGGGAAGTGCTGCCTGACTGCAAATGACTTCAAATCCCTGGTTTTTGTTTCTTTTCCTTCCAGCTTTTTCCCCTTCCCCGTGTCCCTGAAAACTTACAGAGGACTTGGGTTTCTCTTGGAATAGCCCAAGGGAATGTTGTGGACCTGGGGAGGTGGAAACACTGGTTTGGCTAAAAATAGAGGCCGGCAGCGTTTCCCCTTTTTTAAATTGAATTATTTAAGTGATGTGCCTTTGGAAACTTTGTTGTTTGGATGCTCAGCCCCAAAGCTGTGGAATTACCAGCGGGAGATGTTGGATTTCAGCTGGAAGCTGGAGGGATATGGGGCAGGGGGGCAGTTCAGGATCCAGATTTTGGTGGATTAAAAGCAATTCCTGAGCTCGGGGGGCTCCACAGGGAGAGGTTTGTTCCTGGTGCCCTCAGCCAACACCTGGGGGGGAATTTGGGGGGACTTTGGGGGTCCTGGGAGGGACTTTAAAGGTTCCAAAGGGAACCTTGGAGGTCATGAGGGAACTTCAGAGGACCCAAAGGGGATTTTGGAAGTCCTGGAAGGAACTTTAGAGGTCCTAAAGGGGACTTTGGAAGTCCTGGAAGGGACCTTGGAGGTCCTGGAAGGAACTTTAGAGGACTCAAAGGGAATTTTGGAGATCTCAGGTGGAGACCTTCACCTGGAAGTCCTGGAAGGGACTTTGGAGGTCCTGGAAGGAACTTTGGACATCTCACAGGGGACCTTGGAGGTCGTGGAGGGAACTTGAGAGGACTCAAAGGGGATTTTGGAGGTCCTAAAGAGAACTTTGGAAGTCCTGGAAGGGACCTGGAAGGAACTTCAGAGGTCCCAAAGGGGAATTTTGGAAGTCCTGGAAGGAACTTTAGAGGACCCAGAGAGGATTTTGGAAGTCCTGGAAGGAACTTCAGAGGTCCCAAAGGGGAATTTTGGAAGTCCTGGAAGGAACTTTAGAGGTCCCAAAGGGGACTTTGGAAGTTCTGGAAGGAACCTTGGAGGTCCCAGAGGGAACCTTGGAGGTCCCAGGGGGAACTTTAGAGGATCCAAAGGGGATTTTGGAAGTCCTTGGAGGTCCCAGGTGAGGTGTCCCACCCCGATCCTTTTGACTCCCAGTTCCTCCCTCTTTGTTCCCGCCGGACAGGGCTGTTATGGCTGGGTCATCCCGGTGTTTTGGTGGAATTCTGTTGGAAAACCCCGTGCCCTGGTGTCGCCAGGGCAGTGTTTGGGAACACAGAGATTAGGGGAGTTACAGTCCAAGGACACCCGGCTGGAAAACGCTCGCTCGGGGGTTTCTGCTCTGCCCTGGATCGTGGCTGGGACTGACACCAGCTCTCCCAGCCTGGTTCCATCACTGATATTCCTTAGCCATAAAATGTTAGGAAAAGGAATAAGAGGTGCTGGTCTGTTCCCAGAGCTGTGAGCTGGAGAAGGGAAGGTTTAGGTGGGATATTGAGGAGGAATTCTTCCGAGGAGGGGCTGGGCTGGAATTCCAGGAGAAACTGTGGCTGCCCCTGGATCCCTGGGAGTGTCCAAGGCCAGGCTGGAGCAACCTGGGCTAGTGGGAGGTGTCCTTGCCCATGGCAGGGGGTGGCACTGGATGATTTTAATCTATTAAAATCTATTCCATGATTCCCATAACACGAGTTTGGCTTCGTTGGAATTCCGCCCAGTGCCGGTTTTCCTTTGGGCTCTCCGGGCACATCCCTCCCCATCCCGTGCCAGCCCAGGCCCGTGGTGCCAGCAGGATCCCGAGTGTCCCTGTGCCAGCCCCTGCTGTCTCATGCTTTGCTCCTTATCTGGCCCCCCCAGAGCTCCAGCCCAGCATAATCGTCCTGTCAATGGTATTTTTTTTTTATCTTGGTTGAAGGAGAAGGTGCTGCCCGAGGCCTTGTGTGGCTTTCCAGCCTGGAATAAGCCTGGGTGTCACTGCCAGTGTTCAAATGTCCCGAAAATTCAACAGTTTTGCCCCTGGAATGCGGGATCTGGGCAGCTCAGCTGCTCTGCTCAATACTAAGAGTTGAGTTAAGGCACAAAAGGGAGTCAGGCATTCCCAAAAATTGCGTGTGGAAGGTTTTCCATAGGAGAAATTTATTCCTTGGATTACGGTTCTCAGGAATCTGGGGAGGGTTTGTTTGTTGTTTGGTTTTTTTTGTTTTTTTTTTTGTGGATATTTGAGCACATTAAAATAAGAAAATAAAATTACCATTTACAGGCAGGAAATGTTGGATGAGGACTCCCAAGTTTGGGATTCAGCCTTCCCTCAGAGTTGCCCTCCTAGGCTTTGGTGCTTCTCCTCGTGTCCTTAAATGCCCCCCATCCCCTCAGAGCTCCATGTCCAGGGATCCTGTGAGGAGGAGGATGAAGGATTCCCTGGGCCAGCTGACGCTGCACAGTCAGAGGCACTGAAAATACGTTTAAATCCTGGTTGGATTCAACTTCCTGCCTTTTCCACAGGAGGGATTTTTTTCAGGAATTCTGTGCTTTGGTGCCCATTCCTCTGTGTCCCTGGTGCCGGGTCTCCAGCTGGCACACGGGCTGTTCTCTTGGATTTTGGGAGCTGTTTCCTTGTGCCCTGTTCCCTCTGGCTCCGAGGGAGTTAACTGGGATCTGCAGGAAGGCTGGCACGGATCAGGCACTGGCACAAACAAGGGGGTTTTGTCACAGCCACTGTCACACAAAAGCAGCCACCGAGGCCTGGGAGTCGCAGGGAATTGGCATTGGGAGGTGGGAACAAAACTCCAGGGAAAGCCCTTCCCTGGCTCCCCCAGGAATTAGTGCACAGGGGTGGAAAATTGTTAAAAACTCGGGACCTTTTTTTTTTTAACCAGAGTTTTAGTGTGTTGTGGGCTGTGGTTCCTTGTTGTCCTGCCAGGCTGGTGGAGCTGCTTCCCAAGGATTTGTGTCCAGGGGAGGGAATGGAGTGGGGAAAGGCTGGAGCAGCTGAGGGAGCTGGGGGGGCTCAGCCTGGAGAAAAGGAGGCTCAGGGGGGACCTTCTGGCTCTGCAACCCCCTGACAGGAGGGGGGAGCTGCCAGGGAACAAGGGACAGGAGGAGAGGGAACGGCCTCAAGCTGTGCCACGGGAGGCTCAGGTTGGATATCAGGAGAAATTTCTCCCTGGAAAGGGTTGGTTAAACATTGGAACTGCCCAGGGAGGTTTGGAGTGCCCAGCCCTGGAGGTGCCCAGGGAAGGCCTGGCCGTGGCACTCAGTGGACGAGGTGGGGATGGGGCACAGGGTGGGCTTGATGCTCTGGGAGGGCTTTTCCAGCCTCAGTGATTCCATGATTCCACACCCATGGACAGAAGGTGTTGCTTCTCAAGCTGATAAGTGGCTGGCAGGGTTATCACGGCCCCGTGGAATGGTTTGGGTTGGAAGGGACCTTAAATGCCCTCCCATTCCAACAGGGACACCTCCCACCAGCCCAGGTTGCTCCCAGGGAAGATGATCCACACCAACACCTTCCTGCAGGGGAGGCTTTGCCAAGTGATTTTTAAAGAAGTGGCAGTGGCTCTGTGATGGGAGCAGCGGGAGCTGGGAAAAGCTGAACTGGAGTCCGGGGGCTTCCAGTGCTTTATGGCCCGTGGTTTATGTTCATGGGAGATTTTTGGGGGATTGTCTGTGTGGGGTTTGAGTCTTTGGGGTTTGCTTTGCTCAGAAACCCTGTCCAGGTGCTCTCTGGCACTTGGCAAAGTTTTCTCTCGTTCCTCTAAAGTATTGGAGCAATATTTTCCGTGAGATTCTTTTTAAAAAAAAAAAGAGAATAAGAAAGAATCAGAGCTCTGGAATATGGTACAAAGTAAGAGCACTGTTGCAGAGGGTCCCTCTCTGTGTTCCTTTTCCTCTGGTGATGATTCTGGCAGCAGAGATCCCCCCCTTGGTGTGGTTTTGGCCTGGAATTGCTGGAATTGCTGTGTCGGGAAAGCGCTCGGCTGTGCCCTGATGGGAACACGGATCCACCGGCTGATCCCAGCCGGGACTTGGATTTGCATAACAGCCTCTCCTCCAAAAATGAAGGAGACAGTGGTTGTTATCCTTGTTTTTATAACAGCACAAAAGGACGCTGTGCTGGTCCCTCTTCACCCCTGGGACCCTCCGGCACGTGCAGGTGACAACACCCGGTTCCAGATCCAGAGGCACAAACCCTGGGAATGTTTTTCCCTCTGTCTGCAAAGGCACTTTTTTTTTGTTTTTAAATTAGGACACCTCAGATTTCACTGGGGGAAGCCCACCTGCCCAGATCAGAGCTCGGGATGGATCTTTTCCAGCTGTCTGAGCACACAGAATCTGCAGGGGGGGTTTATTTCCCTTCCCATGGTTTGGGGACTTCTGTGATTCCATAAAGTCCAGGCAAAGGGAACAGGAACAAAGTTTGTGAGGGATTTGGCACTGTCTGACATGAGATGCATGTGAGGGTGGGGTTTTTTTTGGCTATTAAAATGTGCAGATTAGGATTATCACCTAAGGAGACCCCCCCTGGATCGCTGTGTCTGGTTCTGGTGCTCCCAAGGTCAAAAGGATGTGGATCTGTTGGAGTGAATCCACAGGAGGCCACAAACTTGTCAGGGGACTGGAGCACCTCTGCTCTGGAGCCAGGCTGGGGGTGTTCACCTGGAGAAGAGAAGGATCCAGGGACACCTTACAGCCCCTTCCAGGGGCTCCAGGAGAGCTGGAGAGGGACTGGGGACAAGGGATGGAGGGACAGGACACAGGGAATGGCTTCAAACTGCCAGAGGGCAGGGATAGGTGGGATACTGGGGAGAAATTCCCCCCTGTGAAGGTGGGGAGGCCCTGGCACAGGTTGCCCAGAGAAGCTGTGGCTGCCCCTGAATCCCTGGAAGTGTCCAAGGCCAGGTTGGAGCAACCTGGGCCAGTGGGAGATGTCCCTGCCCATGGCAGGGGGTGGAACAGGATGGGCTTTAAGCTCCTTTCCAACCCAGTCCAGTCTGTGATTCCATGGAAAAGGCGAAAATGGGGAGGCCAGGTGGTACTTTGTCAGGTGTGAGAGGTGACTGGGAAGTTCCTGTGCAGGGAATTCCAGGAGCTCAGTGGAAGAACCAAACTCGGCGCTGGGCGTCTTCGTCCCTTTGCCATCAGCAGAGTCAAACACGTTGGGGTGTGAACACACCCCCCTGAGGTGCTGCACAACTCACCTGCCCCCCTTCCTGTTCCTAACTGGAGTGTGTCCATGTTTTCCAGAGCCTGGCCCAGCTAGAGAACCTGTGCAAGCAGCTGTATGAGACCACGGACACGGCGACGCGGCTGCAGGCGGAGAAAGCCCTGGTGGAGTTCACCAACAGCCCCGACTGCCTGAGCAAGTGCCAGCTGCTCCTCGAGAGAGGGAGTGTACGTAAAACCCCCCCAAAATCCCCCCCAGATCCACCCTGCAGGGGGGCACTGAGGAGGGAAACACCCCCAGGGGCTGGAGCGGGGTGTTCATATTCCATATTCCACACCCGTGCTCCCAGATCTCGATTTGGGAGCCGCCGGTGCCCAAAAAAAAGCTGATTTTGCTGCTGCTGTGGGGGCACTTTATTGCCTCGTGGGCCCTGCTGGCTTCTCACAGGCTCCCACCCAGAGCTGCTGGGCTTTAAGTTGGAATCCCAGCCCCGTGGGAGTGAAGCTTCTCCATAGGGAAAACGGGGTGTGCAGGGAAATTCCGAGGGGGCAAAGCCGGTGGTGCTCCTTCTGGAATGTTGCCTTGGAAATCTGCCCCTGCTGTAGGGTTGGCTTAATAATCCAGCAGGTTAAAACAGAGGAAAGAAAAAAAAAAAGCTGGATCATGTGCTGTGGAATTAGTGTGGCAGAAAGGGTGGGAATGGTGCCGGCAGTAAATCCCGCCCGGCTCCCGGAGCTGTCTCCCTGGGAAGTGGCCGCTTGGTTTTCACTTGGAATCAGCAGAAATCCCGTTCCAAAGGGCTGTGCCCCGTGATCCTTTGGCAGGACGTGCATCCAGCTCTCCTGCTGTCAGATTGGAGCCTTGTCCATAAAGTAGGAAACACTAAACTGTTGGGAAGAGTTGAGTTCTCCGGGAGGAGGGAAAGGAGACGGATGTTAAAGGCTCCACAAACTTCCCCAAAACTTCACTTCTCCCTACATTTGAAGCCCAGTGGATTCCAGACAAACTTTTGATTGGAAGCTTTTCCAGTGGGAATGAGGAGCTGGTTTACCTCAGGACAAATAGTGATATGTATTTGTAAGGAAAGGTCCTGAAGCCCAGTTTAATCCAGAGTGGGATCCATTCTCGCTCCAAATTTGGGGTTTTTGTTCATTCCGGGATCTGACTCCTGTTGTACCCACAGACCTTGGGAATATTGGAATAAAGGGCTTTCCTGCATTGATCCCAAGCTTTGTCCAGTCCCATATATTACAGGCAAAATGCCTGTCATTCCCTGGCTGTAATTTAGGGAGTGGGATCAGCCAGGGGAGTTTAGGGGCCTGAATTCCATCAATTAGATCAGAGCTGGGTGGTCCTTAAGAAATACATTTTAACCTGGATTTACCAACCCAGGGCAAGCTCTAAGTGCTTCTTGATGTACCTTGACACACTCCTGGGGTAATTCCAGGTGTGGAATTTTAGGAAACTTCACAGATTTTGACTGTTTTTGCTTTCAGTGGCACTTCCATTGTCTTTTGCTCATTAAGCTTTTCCT